GACTCGAACCGTCGTCGACTCATGGGAGTCCAGCGACATAGCCATTACGCTAACTGCTGGTCCCAGTTAAATAATTATTTTTTTTTAAAAAAAGAAAAAACCACCTCCACTGCCCCAACAATTCCAGCGAAATTGATTGATGTTGCGTTAAATGTGTTTACGTCAGAGAAGAATCTATATCTTTTCTCTGCATTTTTTAGTTTATAAATGAGGGAATACATATGTCTCCATGTATCCGAGCCTTGCGTTGTGTTATGGTTTTGTAGGTTTCTTCGCCTAACACCTGTACAGGTGTCATCATGAGAAAGGACGGGGAGATTCTTGGAGTGGGATCAGTCTGGACATAGATCCACGTGAATATAAAAATGTATTTCATTATAAATCAAATCGGAGGAGGAAAGAAGAGGCCTCGAGGTGTAGCTCCAACTTCAGACTTCATGGGGACGTGCAGTGATCGGCCTTCTCTTCTCCCTCCAGAGAGATTCTTTGGGAGGCTTTGCCTGCAATGAGCTCATCAAAATCAATTAGCCTCAGGAACCAGCAGTTAGCGTAATGGCTATGTCGTTGGACTCCCATGTAGTCGACCGCGATTCGCATCCCGGACCCGGTGGCTTAAAACTCATGCCGGGTGCATGTGCGTGTGTGCCCAAGATCCCGAGAGGAGAATGGAGGAGAAGGGATTGCAGCGTGACCATCCCCCCTCGGGGTTGATTTCTTGCTTTCTGTCTCTATGTCTCTCTCTGTCTGTCTGGCGAGCACACGTGCCCTATAGTGAAAACCTCTCCAAAAAAAAAAAAAAATCCATTAGCCTCAACAGAGTGCCTGGTGCGGTCTCATCCTCGGTCTTGAAGGAAGCAGGACAAAGGCACATGCGTCCGTGCACACATGAGCGTGCACTCACACACAGACACACACACTTCCTGCCTGTGACGGCTATCCAAACTAATCATAGAAAATTAGGAAAAGGGGCTGGCAGGTGATGTGGAGGTTGAGTCCTGGACTCCCACATGGCCAACTATGGTTCAAGTCCTGGACCTGGGAGCTTGCTTTCTCACTTTCCTGTTCTCTGTCTCTCTTGCTCTCTCTCTCTCTGGTCAAATTAAAAAATAATAATGATATATAAAATTAAATAATTATTAAAAAAAAGAAAAAGTGGGGGGCCAGCAGGCATCATGGCGGTTAAGAGCTCTGGACTCCCACACCGCCGACCACAGCTCGAGTCCCAGACCCGGCCGCTTGCTTTCTCATTTCCCCTCCCTCTCTCTCTCACACACACAGTCTGTCCCTCTCTGGTAAAATTTAAATAAATAAGTAAATAAAGTTAAATTAAATAATTATTAAAAAAAGAAAAGAAAAAAGAAAAAATGAAGGGACCAGCAGATGGCATAGTGGTTACATTGCTGGACTCCCACATGGCTGGCATTAATTCAAGTCCTGGACCTGGAGGTGTGAAACTCACACCGGGTGCGTGTGCCCCAAATCCCGAGAGAATAGGTAAGGGATTGGGGCATGTTCACCCCCCCTGCGGTGATTTCTCGCTCTCTGTCACTCTGTCTGGTGAGTACACATACCCTATAGCAAAAGTCTCTCAAAAAAAAAAAAAAAAAAAAAAGAAAAAAGAAAAGAAAAATAGGGGAACAGAGTGAAAAAACCTCTGTGGGGTCACTACATACATATTTATTCTTTCCAAGATCAGGGTCATAATGCGCATGCAGCTTGGTGCGCGGCTGGATCCACATCATGGCAGGCGTTCAGACACCCCTCCCCAGCGGACTTGGAGAGGGACACCAGGACTTATTTACTGTTCCCCTAAGGCTTTCCAGAGAGCTGTTATAGTGTCTCCAGGAACAACCTGCTGGCTTTTAAAAGCCTCAGTTCTGATCACTGTTTGAGGCTAGATTTTTGCAAGTGGGTTTACCTGGTGAAAGGGCAGGCCCTATTCAGTCTTGACAGAGATTTTGCAGATGGCTTTCCAGAAATATCAACCAACACGGGAAGCTGGGGCTGGCTTCCCTACCTTCACCAGATGAGCATTTCCCGCCCCCACCTGGGCCATTTGCTAAGTCCTCCGTGTGCCAGACGCCAGTGCTGAGTATTATGTAATGTCATCCTCACACCCCCTGGAGGGGACACCCATTTCAGACACGGAAACAGGCTCAGAGTGCTCTCCTGTCGGCAGTCACCCAGCCAGAAGGCCCGCGAGCCCGGATTCAAACCCGGCCTGGGGTGTCAACGTGGTGAGATCTTGACTGGCTCTTCGCCCCGCCCGCACTGCCTGCCTTGGTTCTCACCAGAATGTTTAGTCGTGGGTTTGCTCTGTCGCGGGCTTCGCACGCTTTCCCAGCCCCTCGGGGATAAAGCCCGCTCCTCGGTCTCCCTCTGCACCCACAGGCGCCTGCATCCCCCTGGCTCCCGCCCCCAGCCCGCGCTCCGCCACGCTGAGCCACTGTCGTGCCTCCCAGTTCCAACTCTTCCGCGTCTGGCCAGGTGGAGTTGGGGACCTCGCCGCCTCCGAACCGCAGCGGCGCTTGTCACATGACTGCGGTGATGTGCTGACGTAGCCTGACCGCCCTCGGTCACAGCGCGCTGCCCGCCTCGGGTCTGCGCGTCCCTAGCGCCACCGTGCGCAGACAGCCCGCATGGGAGCGCGCAGCCGGCCTGCTCGCGCCCCGGGGCTTAGAGCGCAGAACAGGTTAAAGGCACCGCCACGGAGTAATGAGGGGTTTAGGGCGCCCGGACCCGGCCGACTCGTGGAAAGGGTGCTGGGGACGGGATCGTCTTAGGGGCAGGAGGAGGGAGCTCCGCTCTGTCTTATCACTGAACTCAGGCCTCCTCCCCGTCTCCTAAGACAAGTCGAACAAGAAAAAATACTTCCAAATGGGCCCCCGCACCCTCTTCTAGGACAAACTCCTGCCGCGCTGTGCGACCTTGGCCGCCCTTCTCGCCCGGCCGCGGCCCCCGAAAGTACCTCGGCCGGCTGCACGCCCCCTCCCAGCCCAGCTCCGCGCGGACCCCAGGATCGCCGAACAGTGGGGCCACTGGGAGGTCGGTTGGGGACGGGTCATCTTGAAAGGTCCCCGTGATGCCCCCGCCGGGCGACAAACTCCTCCGGGCGACAGACGGATCTTGGGCTCAGAGCCGCCCCTTCCCGGGGCGAAGGAAGCGGGACGGGTCTGTGCTGCCTAGAGACCCCTCGCACCCCAGAGCCACCCCCGCCGCAGCCGCCGGGTGGCCGGGTGAGCGGCCGCCCCCGCAGCGATGCCTGACGTGGGACAGGTTCTCACTGCTTGGCCGGCGGCACCAGGACCTCCGGTCCTGCAGAGGGCGCTGCCCCGGCCCGGCTCCGCCCACGAGGGGCCTGCGGAGTGTTTAGGCCGGAGTAGCCGCGGGAGCACCGGAGCCCGCGAGCCTGAGCTGCCCGCCCGCCCTTCTCCTGGAGGCGACACAAGTGCTGAGGGGTCTGGGGGGCGGCTGCGCAGTGCCCGCGGCCAAAGCCGTGCAGGCACGCGAGGTGCCAGGCCCCGGCGGCGGTGGGTGGGGGGCGCCGACTGCAGGGTTAGTGGCGACTTGAAGCTGTAGGCTTTGTGTGTGTGTGTATATCTGAGTGTGTGTGCGGGGAGTGGAGGGGTGGTCACGGGACCTGATGGGTAAGGCTGGCGGTATCCGCCGAGGAAGGGGTTAGCAGATGGGGCGGCTGGAGGTGGAGGGACGCGGGGGAGGTGGACTAGGGAAGCTGTCTTGCCCCGACCCTGGGCGAAAATGAAAGGTTGGGGGCGGGGCACTGATGTTATTGACAACACAGACGCAAGGGAAGGGTGGTGGTGTCAAAAAAGAGATGTGAGTTTGGAGAGGTTGGCATCAGGACGCCATATGCGCAGAGAAGCGCTGCTGGTGTGTGGGGGTGTATGAGGGTTGGGAGGATGGAGCTGCCAGAGTCTGAGAGATAGCTGCAGGAGAGATTGTGGGCAGGGTTTGGGGGAATTTGGCAGGAGTGTGTTTGACTCCTGCTCCTAGTAGGGTCCGAGGTAGGCCAGAAGGATGGGGGTGCAATGTGGCATGCTTTTGGCAGGACTGGGTGTGTAGCTGAGCTCAGCAGGCAGTGTTGCTGGGGACGGGTGGGGGGTGCTGTGGTTGGGAGGGGAGCCTTACTGACCTATGGTGGGGACCTGGGCCTTACCTTCTCCCCCCAGCCACAA